GATACAAAATAGCATTAATAATAGAGCATATCAATTTTTAAGATGCAGACATTGGAAAAAGAGAAATATCTAGTATCAAATAGCTAAGGCATGTACGTAGTTACGAGTCTAAATCTTTTGCACTCAAATTTGCCTGGTGCTAATAAAGTACCATGTATAAAAAGTTTACACTAATGAAGAAGTCAAAAGTATGTCAAACTCAATTCACCAGGACGGCCGTAGGATATAGTGACATTGTTTGAAAAGACGGGAAGATTAGAAAAATAAAACATTGTTGTTTCCTGGTACTGGGTAATGGTAGGTAATGACTAACGAGTCACAAATGAAACTACCTATACAATGCTTACGAGGTTCGTTACTTCATTTAGGGGGAAAATCCAAATTTCTGAAATATTAAATGAAAACCTAGTCAAGTTTCTAATAAAAGATATAGCATTTCTTAATCATACATAATAAAATCATACGTCCTTTTCTTTTTCTTCACATAATTGACGTCGAGTAATAAAAAATATTATTTTTAATCATAAGATGACTTAAGACTGCATCGTTATTCAATCTTTAGTCCAACCCACACACAAGTCCAATGTATAAATCAAATCAAACGACTGAAAACTGCGTAACACCTTCCTACGTGAAAACAATGTCAAATATTGTATGTAAATAGAAAATAGCACAAACAAGCATCGCCTGAAAGCTTGAGGGGACAATGAAAGTTTGACCAAATTATTTATTTATTTATTTTTTTTTGTAGAGACGGATTAGACGAGATTAGTTGACTGTTATATTATTGTGTTAGGCTATTTGTGATATTTTGTGTGTTAGGGTTTGTTTGGTAGGATAAAGAAGGATTATGATTACTTTATTTATTTATTATTAAGGTTTAAGATTATTTGGGTAAGAAGTAGTGGATCATTCTGGTATTTAGAACTTTTTTTCAATTCATTGCACTACGAATGCAAATCTTTTCCTTCATGTATATTAGTGTAGAAGGTCGCTTATAATCAAAAGACTAATTAGAATTAGTGTAAAACTCCAATTTTGGCTTGTAATTTTACCAAATTTTGGGTTTTTATTTAAAAAAAAAATATTGTTTTTGGATCTTGGTGAGCCAAGAGCCCACCCCCTAATTTGTGTTCCCTATTCCCTTTTTCCTGTAGACTCATCTCTCTCTCCCTCACAGTTCTTTCCTTCTTCCTCTAGCTGCACCCAACCCTCCCCGAGCGAGGGTAGCTTACACATCCACACACCCATGCAATCACCCACAGGACGATAACGACGGCAACACCACCATGATTAGCTCTCTCTCTCTCCCTCTCTCTCAGTCTCTCAGTTCACTCTTCTCTCTCTTTAACTCTCTCTCTTGGACTCTCCTTTCCCGATTGAACCCACGCCACCCACCCACGCACACCCGAGACCCAATCGAACCCCCCGGCGACGGCGCAGCATCACCACCACTCTCGTTGTCTCCCTCTCACTCTCCCTCACCTCTCAGTGAAACTCGGTGAAGCACTGGAGCATAGAGAACCCTTGGCGAGTCGTGATGCTTGAGCCCAGTTTCTGGTCACCCCCGATCCTCTTCACGGCGAATCATAGGTATAAACCCCTTCCTTCCGTCTTGTACTTTGTTTTCATACCTAGATCGCACGTTAATTGTGGCGTCGACCGGAGCTAGGAAGCTCCGGCCTCCTTCTCCGGCAAGGAACAAGAACCCAAGCCTTTGGGGCCTACACCCAAGCCCAAACCCTTGCCTTTCAGGCCTTCGGGCCGTGTGTGGAACTTGGGTTTGGGCCCGTGAGCCATAAACCCCAAACCCTTTTCTTTTTATTTATTTATTTATTTTCTAAAAACCCAAAACCTTTGTTGGGCCAGACTTTCAAACCCAGGCCCGTGTGTGTGCAACCCAGGGCTTTCAGCCCTTTAGAATCCAGAGAAAGGCAGGCCTTAGAGCCATCCAAATTGGGCCTCCGGCCCGTTACCCTTTAAAACCCTAACCCATAGAGGACCAGCTCAACCTATTGGGCCCAAGACCCAAAACCCTAAAACCTAAGCCCAACCCGAATCCAACCCTAAACCGGTCTGACCAAGTTGACCTGATTTGACCCGTTGACCCGAACTCGGTATGATCGTTGACCCGGTTAACGTTGACTTTTTCGGGTTTCGTTCATGACCCTTCCTAGGCTAATATCGATGTCCTGGATCCCTTTTTAAGTTTGTTTTCCCAAATTTAATCGTTTGAGTATAGTTTTATTAATTGTACTCTTTATGTGCTTAGGTGCAATTAATAGTGGCAGTTCCATTATTCCTTTAGGCACAACTTAGCACTATTGGTGTACGGTGAGTGAACCCTTTCTAAAAATACATGTTTTAACAGTAGTATTGCATACAAGAAAAGAAAGATTTAATGATTATGTTTTATGAGATAACATGCTTATTGAGGCTGGTTTGAATTATTACTATTTTTTTTATAACTCGTGTTCTTTATAGAATATCTGATGGATGACGATATAATATTTAGAACATTTTTCAAACACCTCTTTATAGTATAAATGATGGATGATTTTATACTATGAAGTTGTTTTTCAAATATATGTATGTTCAATGGTTTTGTACTTATCTAGTAGTCCCTATTCCGCTATGGGGCGAGGGATAGATTCCGTCACAGGCGAGGTTACGATGTTGGCATAGGGCCTGAAGAAATAATCTCTAGCTACGGGCTGAGAGACATAGGAAGCTGGCACGGGACCTGAATGTGATTTTCCTCTGGCAATTGGCATAGGGACGGGGAGCTGGCATGGGGCCTGGAGTGAGATTGGACATTCACTAGCGATTACTATATATGGGATATGTTTTGAGACATTGCATGACATGCTAGGTTTCAGAAACCCTATTTTTTTTATCATGTTATTTGAGTTTTAATAAAACTTGGGGGTTAGTATGTTGATAACTTTTTTATTATATCTATATCAACTTGGTCTACTCATTTTTGTTTTGCACCCCCTTTAGGACATAGGAACAAGGAATACGATCCGAGTTACGAGGCATTTCCCTACCAGTGATATTGTGCTATATTCTCTTTGCTTCGGCATCTACTATAATAGTACTTCTCTATCTTAAATTTTCGCTTGTACTCTGTATTAGATGTATGTTCTGAATGTGTCCTGCATTATCTTGTTAATTCATTGTTGGCAGTTGAACTTTAGTTTTGTGTTTTACTTTCTAGTGCACGAATAGTCCCAATTTGTATGTATGTTTTACATGTTCTTAGCATTGACATTGATTAAATGGCTTTCGTCACCCTTCGGGTGTTGGCCAGCATGTGACCAACCCGATGTCCCGAGGACATCGAGATCAAGCCGTGTCAATTAGATCTTTATAAATATTAAAAACATCTCTTATAATTTGGAGGAATTAAAATTTTGGCAAGATGTAGTCTTTTTCATGATATAGCGTTCTTGACATTTGTGTTAGGGTTTTTAGAGCAGGATAAGGACTTTGATTACTTTATTTATTTATAATTAAGGTTTAAGATGATATGATTAAGGTTAACAAGTAGTGAATTGTCTTGGTTGTTTGGGCATTCTTCTTCAATTCATTATGTTTCGGATGCAAATCTTTCGCCTTCTCCTCGTGTATATTAGAGAAGAAGATCGCTTGTAATCAAAAGATTGATTAAGATTAGATCTTTATAAATATTAAAAACATCTCTTATAATTCTGTAGGAATCAAAATCTTGGCAAGATGTAGTCTTTTCAGTTCTTGACATTTTTGCGTCATATTCATCAAGTCTACCGATTCTGCTCAGCACCAATGCTGTTTCACCACTAATCATCTGCAACAAATGTGACTGAGGTAGGGAGACAGTCAAAAACTCCCACATGATGCAAAAGGCCAGCATGAATGGTAGCAATATTGACTATTCCCCCCCCCCCCCCGGCGGGGCTAAATTCAAGTGCTTGAAAACTTTGTTTTCCTATTCTCTTGCTCATACTAAGAGAAATTAAGTTTTTTTTCCGTTGAAAACATAAAATTGACCTCACTCCAGCATTGTTATTTCTACGACTTATTTGTACACAATATATTGTCGCTAATTTCATATAAAACTTCGAAATTACATAAGATATAAGATTTATTATAAGAAAAAGAAAACCACCCATAAAATTACAGTTGTATTTTCTTGCCATCCAAAAACAAGCTTTGTTGTAGTAGTGGTGAGGCACAACAAATATGATCCATGTGGTAGCAAAATATCGCCGTTTTTGAAATTGTACCTATAAAATAAAATATTTTTTTTTTAAAGGTCAAAACCACGTGCCAAGAAGGGGGGAGGGGGGTATTTAGCCAATGAACCTTCAATGCTTAAGTTAGTTTCTTTGAAAAAATAGAGTGATTTACGGTTGAACTGTGTAGAGTTCACTTCAATGTGCTTGAGAAGTATGTAGAATGAAGTATGTAGAGTTCACTTCAAGATCAAACCCCAACGGTCCTTGAAGAAACTTCCAACCGTTCATCTAAGATCAAGCCTCGACGACCCTTGGATCAACAGTACATCCACAAATCTACACCTTACGAAGATCGAATCAGATGATCAAATTGTAAAAGAGATTGTAACCCTAAAATCAATACAAAAATATTATTTTGTACACGTGTTCTTGTCTCGTTGGTCGCAAGAATTTCCGTGTTCACACACCCATAATGCTATTACTGGTTCTATTCTCATTTTTTGAGCTGTGCAACCAGGTTAGCTCAAGGTTTGATGATTTGATAGTTGATTCAGTTAACCTTATATATGCTACGCCTAGATGTGCATGTTTCTTTTGGAATGTGATATGGATCAATGTGCATGTATTGCATATCTGTAACGAAGGAGAACGCATATTTGGTTGATATATTGGTGAACTTAAAAGAATCAAAAGAAATTGGCAATGCTAATCAAGATATTCATACTACAGATTATCGACTTTTCTTCAAAAACAAAATTGCAAAAACTAGAAAAAGCACCACTTGAATATATGAAACATCGAAATCACATGCCATATAAGATTTATTACAGTATTTGGTCTCTTTTAGAGAAAAAAGAAAACCACCCATAGAATTACAGCTTAATTTTTTCTTCCCATCCAACACAAAGTTTTGTTGCAGTATTGGTGAGGAACAAACATGACCAAACACCTTCAGGCTTCAACGTGACCAAAATCAGAATCCGCCAACCCATTCATTGATACCAACGGCGGTCCCCTTCAAGCTATATCAATCTGTGTAATAAAATGCTGGTTTTTTTGGTTCACGTAACTCCATGCTTTGATTTGTTAACATTTGTATCACCTCTGACATGTACGGCCGATGGGCTGCGTTTTCCTCCACGCATAGTAGACCGACTTGGATACATCTTAACAATTGACCTCTAATGGATGTTTCGACTAGTGTTGGGTCCCGTAGTTCTTCCCCTCTACCTGCTCTCCATAACTCCCATGCCTGATGAAGCAAACATTAAAATCCTTGAATATCGATCAAACCGTAGAAAATGAAAAAAAACTTAAAAATAATTCTATTTAGACACGCTGATAAATCCTCTACTAGAGGTGGGCCTTGCCCTTGTATATGAGACCTGCATGTATTAGAGTGTTAATTTTGTGTACTAAATAACGTTACTCAAATGACCGTAACTGCAGTGATTTGTTTGACATACATGTCCTACTAAGTTGAGCGCACGATCTTCATTGTACAAGCTATTGTTTTTCCTGCCGCTTATAATTTCAAGCAGTAACACTCCGTAGCTGTAGACATCAGATTTTACAGAGAAGTTTCCTCCCATGACGTACTCGGGGGGCATATAACCACTGTAACGAATGGGAAAGGAGAATATATATGGTTAGTAAATCTCCGTATACGTACATGCATGTTTCTCAATTGAAAGAAAATTGTGTGAAATGAAGTGTACGTGTATTGTTTAAATACTCACCGTGTCCCAGCAATCCTCATAGTATTAGCTCCCAGATCCTCCGTGAAAATCTTTGCCATACCAAAATCTGAAATTTTGGGGTTCATATTTTGGTCAAGTAGTATATTACCGGCTTTCAAATCTCTATGAATCACTGTCTTCCTCGAGTATTTGTGCAAGTAAACCATTCCTTGAGTGATTCCTTCAATTATGGTGAAGCGCTCTTTCCAATCTAGTTGCCGATCTCTGGTGGAATCTGTCCAACATAGGGAGTCAAGTGAGAATGTTTTTTTATGCTTTATACTGAACAGATGATGAAATCATCAAGAGCTAACATTATAAATTAGTGTTAATTTCCCACCAAATAAAAAGTAGTCCAAGCTTTTGTTGGGCATGTACTCGTATATCAGCATCCTCTCCTCTTCGTGAATGCAAAATCCAAAGAGCTGAACAAGGTTTGTATGTTGGAGTTGATAGATGAGTATTAATTCATTCTTAAACTCATCTGTGCCTTGTCCAGAAAACTTTGAAAGCCTCTTCACGGCTACTTCTTGTCCCGTCGCCAATTTTCCCTGAAATCATAACCCACAAATATTTTTCACATAGTCCTAAAAGAAAAAAAAAAAGAACTAGGACATTTGTGTGCCGGCTGCTCAAACATGCACACTTCATATTGGGAAATGATTTTTGCACTCTCTTTCAGCATCCCTTGGGTTGAATGAATAAAAAAAATATAAAGAGACAAAAAAAATGGAAGGGAGGAGTGTCTGTTGTTGTTTGAATAATGATCTAATTGTTCTAATTTGTAATGAAAAATTAAAAAAAAAAAAATCTCAAGAAGAAGAAGGAATGGAGTTCATTACTCCTGACTGTTTATGAAAACTACTCCCCTATAATAATATTATTATTATTTGAAATATTACCTTATAAACTGTTCCAAAGCCTCCTTGTCCGAGCTTGTTTGCTTCAGAGAAGTTGCTTGTGGCAGCCAAGACCGATTCATGGGTAAATGCATGCAAATCAGGGTTTAGTATAATTGCCTGATCGGTAGGTCTCGTAGCTTTGATGAATCTACCCAATCGTCTTTGAATCTTTGTCGCCTTCTCGCCTATTTAAATTAGTTAAGTAAAAATTTCAAACTGAGGAGAATGATTGTGAAATACTGTCCAATAAATGCACATTATGCTCAAAATTACCTGCTAAAACCATAAATCCCGTTCTTCTCAGGCGATAGCCCAAGATGCAAAACCCCATTACCAGTAAAGCAGCAGCAATGGAAATACCAATCCAGAACCACTTCTGTGTTGCATCTAATGATAGTAACAATTAATTTAATAATTAGCTACTTAACTGACAAAATTCAAAGAAGATTGCTTAGCTTCATCGGTAGAGGGAGACAAATTTCAGAAATAGTCAATTGCCAGCAGAGACAATCCGTTTCCCAGAGAAGAAAAGGCCTTCACCGGAGTTATGAAGGTGAGGTGGCGTCTGGTGTGGGAGAAGGAGAATGCACGGTGGTGATGGAGAAGAAGTTGCTAAGCTTAGTGGTGGGATCCTCTTCGTTATTTTAATTTTGTTGTTACCAAAAAATTCTCAATTTTTTAATAAAATTGCTAATTTTTTTAATATTTAATTAATTTATCAATCTAGTTGGATGAGTGTGTGGGCTCATTGCCTGTTTGAACAATTAAATTGATAGAAAATTTATTAGTGGTTTGATATTGCAACGAATTTATAAATTAAGGTATGATATTACAATGTTTAAAACATAAAGTATGAGATTATGGTTCAACCAATAGTTGAGCACTTTTATCTAATTTACCTTTTTTTTTATATACACCACTACCAGAAAATTGGGGTTACCGAACGAAATTGCCCGACGGAAACAAATTAGTTGGCTAACAGTCGTTTACCCTACGAAATGACCAATTCATGGGGCAAATTTGGTCAACATTTTAGGATTTACTCAAAATCTTTATGAGACGGAACAATGTCATAGGACAAGGGTCAGGCAAGATTTTGGCACTAAGTAAAACATTTGGCCCGCAATTCATTGAGGTGAATTAGGGGATCGTTTGATTTCTCTCTAGTTGATGTTTGTTATTTTCAATATATAGTAAGATTAGAACATAGCTAGACTTACGATTCTTTCCCGGAGGTGGTGAATCTGGTGGGTGTGGTTGCGTTGCTGGCAAAACAAAACTAGTATTTGCAGTGAAGTCTTCAAGGAATTCACAGTCCACGCTCCAAAATCGGCATCCTGCACCAGTAGTCGGACTACCAGATGGAAAGTCGAATCCAAGGCAGTCACAATTTTGCCAACAAGTAACCTTACAATCCTCACTACCAGTACCAGGCCAGTTGGGGGGTCTCGAAGCGCTAGAGTTAACGATATTGAAGTAACCCTTTTTCTGCTGAAAATCATCACCAACTTCCCCAATACACCGGTCCCTTCTCACGCACCCTCCGACTATGTTATAGCCGTCACAGTTCTGTGCTTGTATGATGTCAACTGATGCACCGTACTCATAAAGTGCCCCCCTGGTGTATAGCACCCATTCTGGCTCAGGATCAGTAGGATCGTCTAGACTAGCATACGTGAGGTAGTCTTCGTCTTGATTCGAAACAATGCTAAAATTGTACCTTTTTTTGGATACATCAGGCAAAATAAATTCGAATCTGCCATCTGCAAACACGCCACTAGTCCAATAAACAGTCCCGCTTCGCTTGATCTTCAATTGGTGTGCATCGGTGTCCCATTCAAGGCTGTAAGGCCCTGACGACACAGGGTTGTCACGAGTTCCCCATGACAAAAGTGACCAATTGTACCCATTTCTACGGTCAATGCCCAATTTCATGCCTGGTAAGAATGTGTCTACTGGATGATCAAAGCTTTGCCAGAAAACACGGATCGTTGATCCGCTAACAGAATTGACCTCTTGTAGGACAAAATTGCCGGAATCCAAAAGGGTAGCCGCGACACTAGTATTAGGGTCATTAGTTTGGGGAGCGGAGAAAAGAACGAAAGGGTCTCCATTTTGATGAGTAATTTTCAATGTGTTATTGGAGTCCAAGGTAAGAAGTGGAGATGAAGAGGATAAAATAGGTGTGTCTCGGTTGGCAATCCATGCTTTGTTTGCACCGCTTTTAACACGGAGGATGGCAATGAAGCTGTTATCGGAACCACCGATAACCTTTTCAATGAAATTCAAAGTGAAAGTCCCAGATGCCGAAAGTAGAGAACTTGTGGAGTTGAGAGTGTCCCCTGGTTTCAGCGTGTCTATTGCATCATGACAAGTCCACAAGGATGCAAAACAAACCAAGATAATTGCGTACTTGATCAGTGAACCTGTAGCCATGAATAATGACCACAAGGTTACTTTAATTTATTCGGATGATCTTGAAAACTTGTATTTCTCCCTCTGTGGCTGCCTCTCTTTTTAGTAGTTTTCTGTTCACAAAAATAAACAAATTAACAATAAGAGGCCGGCAATGCTTGAGAAATAAATGAACTTCTTGCAATTACATGGAGAATTCTCTCTTTTGTTTAAATATTACAGAAAGAGAAAGACTTTGACTCATTTATATTTATCAATACACAATACACCCATCCGTGTCATGGGTCTTAATTTGTTTTTCAATTCATTCCTTAGTCAATTGGTTTCTTTCTTCATACGCACTCGCACTCGTCCGCTTCTTAGAAACAAATGGATACTTTCCGGGCAATTTTCATTGTTTTATTATGCAATACCTTGTTATCCAATATAGATGATGTCAAAGATGGCAGCGTCAAAAGAAAATTGAATCGCATTTCCACATCAATTCATATTCTGTTGCAATATGCCACCAAACTCTGGACAGATATATTTCGACGTCTGAAAAGTCCTTACATAATATTTAAGAAGGTCAAGAAATTGCAACCGTTTCACGAGAAAAAAAAGTGAATGATTATATGTTGCACGCATAAATAACATAATTTAGTTGATTTTTTTTTTCTTGTGCCGAATTGCAACTAGGCCTGTAACTGTAAATTTTTAAGATATAGGTGTATTTGGGTTGGTAATGCAGGCATCGAGTGTGCAGCTTTTTCTGAAACCGAAGCTGAACTTCCGGTTTGCAGACCGTTAATTAACTAATAAGTAGCTTGAGTAATATGCAGATTTACCTGGTTTGCGTGTGCCCCTGCCGTCTTGCAGCATGATGAGTACATAAGTCCAAAGCTGCTGGCATGAATAGACTGCAGCAATCAATGAATAATGTGAAATACAAAGAAAATCAAAGGGCCGGGAAGAATAAACCTATCGTTTTGACATGCAGATTAAATATATGAAAATTTACCAAAAATCCTCAAGCTGGAAACTAAATGCTCTAAATTGGAAACTGGATAAACAGATGAAGGCTAAGGGAAACAGATGAAGAAGGGGGTCGAAGGGAATTAATATGGATGACTTTTTGGCATTAATATTCTGCGCGCAAAGTCACCTTGTACGCAGTTTACTCCAATATTACCGATGAAAACCAAGAGCCGGCTAGGACGGGACCAAGTCAACTACCCGTCCATAGATGCCAAGAGAAACAACATCACATGCAGCCTAGTACGTGCCATGATATATACGGACTAAGCGTAGCTCAAGCTGCAGGATTTTTATTGTCTGCTTGTTTGTATCTACATTGTTAACTGCCCTGTCTTGCAGTGAGGAGTGAGCAACAAACAATTAGCTTTAGCCATATTAATATGTTAATGAGTAATAATTAATGGATAAATACTCGTATTCCCCTGTGGGGAAATGGACATATCCCACCATTTATAAATAATATATATTTATTGTAAATTTTATAGTGGACCAAAATCGTTAAATTTCTTAATCATTATTTGAAGATTATGTCTACAAAAAATCATTCGAATCGGCTATCATTTAGTCATCTAAATGTATAAAATAATCGACAGTGCAAGTACCAAGTAACATATTCATGAAAGAACCGTTCATTTATTTGATATGCTTTGATGACTAAACAGTACATGATTCAAATACTTATTTGAGAAATGATCTTCAAATAAAGATTAATTAATAAATTGAAGATTTCGTTAAGGAATTTATTCGGTGAATATACAATATTCATAAAAGATGAGATATGTGCATTATCCATATTATCCAATAATAATTTATGTGAGATTTCGCCTAAATATTTAGAGGGTATATTAAATTGATATTTCAAAGGATTTTATACAAGTTATAAATCCTTGGAGTTTTAATGGAGTTCTATAGCTTTGGAAGGACTCACCACATTTGGGTGAATTGGTTCAAATCTTAGAGATGATGTCTAATTTCCTAAAACCTAAAATACACTAAAAAAACCTTCCAAATTCATCAAAATCCTACTTTTTAAATACTTCAAAATCAAATATTAAGTAAATACACATGTATTTTTATGAATTGGTTTAAAATTCTAATTGATTATCGTCGAATTTCTACACTATTTTACTATGCTGGAAATTAATAAAGTTCTTAAATAATACATAAAAAAAATTTGTCCTTCAATCAAAATATTCAAACTAATAAGACTATAGTCTAAGACATCGGTCAACCATCCCTGGAAGATATGCTAATTTTATTTTAAATTTGGAATTAAAAGTCCATTTATCTGAACTACACTAGAAACTAAGGGCTGGTACTTTCTGAATAACCCCGTTAAAAGAAGCGGCAAAAATATCTGTTCATAAATCCGTTAAAAGTAGCGCCAAAAATTCTGATCATAATTCCGTACAAAACGAACTTTCAAATAATGACGCACCCCACTCCATAGTACTCCACAAGCTCACACTGTCACACATGATGCAAGCCTTGTGCAAAAGGGGCCAACTTCAACAAGCTCTCAGACTCCTCTCCAACCCAACCCAAATAAACTCTTATTATTCACTGTATATGAATATCTTGCAGCTGTGCATCGACGAACGAGCAGAAAGGGCCGGTCTTTTGGTTCACAGCCATGTAATTACAAATGGGTTTGGTTCAAATTTGAATTTATATACTAAGCTGATAATCTTTTACTGCAACTTTGGTCGCATGGTTAGTGCCCGCAATGTGTTTGATAGAATGCGTGAGAGAAATGTCGTGTCTTGGACTGCTATGATTTCTGGGTATGTTAAAGGTGGGTGTTATAAGGATGGTTTAATGGTGTTTCTGAGTATGCGTCAGGCAGGTTTTAGAGCTAATCAGTTTGGGTATGGGAGCGCGTTGAGGGCGTGTACGGGTTTGAGGTGTTTGGAAGTAGGGCAGCAGATACAAGGGTGTATTGTGAAAGGGAGGTTTGCTGAGAACTTGTTTGTGCAGAGTGCGTTGGTTGATTTTTATTCTAAGTGTGGGAAGATAGAGGATGCACGTTATTTGTTTGAGGAAATGAAGGTGAGGGACTTGGTTTCGTGGAATGCTATGATTGGCGGCTATGGTGTTCAGGGTTTTGCTGATGACTCATTGCGTATGTTTCATTCGATGATGAAGGAAGGTGAATGTTTATTTTTGTGATTAAAGTTACAGTTTTTTTCTATTCTTATTAGTTGTGTTCTTTTCTTTTTGTTTGTTTCATATTTTTGAGTAATGTTTACTTGCCACAAAGGCAAAATTGGTTTCCGGCTGGAGGTTTCTGATTGAGAAGCAATGTCAAACTAAAGTCTTTGTATCTTCTGTCATCGTATCTTAAGATTTTTGTACCATATATGTATCAATACCTTTACTTTTCCTCTTAATATTTATGTCTAATTTTCGTATGCAATCATTTAACTCAGGCATGATCCCTGATTGCTTCAGCTTTGTAAGTGTGTTGAGAGCCTTAACTGGAGATAGTGGTAGCATGAAGGTGAGTCAAATACATGGATTCATCATGCAACTGGATTTTGGATCACACGAGGCTATAAGTGGATCGCTAATCAATGCATATGCAAAATGTGGAAGGGTAAAGAGAGCTCATCAGATATACAAGAGCATGATAAAAAAGGACATTATATCATGCACGGCATTGATAAGTGGATATGCACGAGAAGGTAACTACAGCAGAGATGTGCTAGCTCTCCTTAAAGAAGTGAATCTTATGCGCATGGCACTGGATGGTATGATATTATGCTCCATGCTTAATATATGCGCGAATATTTCTTCATTGATCTTGGGAAGACAAATTCATGTCCTTACTTTTAAACACCAACCTTGTCATGATGTGGCCGTGGGAAATGCTCTTGTTGACATGTATGCAAAATGCGGAGAAATTGAAGATGCTAACCATGCTTTTGATGAGATGAAGGAAAAGAATGTTATTTCATGGACATCGCTGATTTCTGGATATGGAAGGAATGGCTTGGGACATAAGGCGATTGCTTTATATAAAATGATGGAATATGAGGGATTGGAACCTAATGATATCACGTTCCTGTCTCTTCTCTTTGCTTGTAGCCATGCTGGACTGACAGTTGAAGGATGGGAATGCTTTAATACTATGCTTAAAAAGTACAACATCTTGCCTCGAGTTGAGCATTTTTCTTGCATGGTAGACCTTTATGCACGCGCAGGTTTGTTAGACGAAGCTTACAAGTTGATGTGTGACATGAACATAAAGCCTAATTCCTCACTCTGGGGAGCCATTCTTGGGGGGTGTAGCGTCCATGGTAATAGCTCACTTGGAGAAGTGGCGGCAATGCATCTTCGTGATATGGATCCAAAGAATTCAGTTAACTTTGTTGTCCTAGGAAGCATATATGCTGCATCTGGTGCATGGGACAATGCTTTGGAAACGCGAAATTTGATAGAGAGGAGAAGTTTGAAAAAAGAACCAGCACAGAGCGTTTTAGTTTCCACAACAAATAAAACTGTGCTTTTGCAGCCAACTTAAGACAGTAGAACTAGCTAAATTCGTTGTTCATCCTTGGAGAGGAGCAAATACCATTACCATCTTGCTCATGCAGATGTTTTTGTTTATGCTCCAAGAGTATCTAATTCATCTCGTTCTACTTTCGGGATGCAGACCTGTTTCACATATTGCTTCTGAACACTCAGGTATTTTACCTTCCTAAAAATTGTGTACTTTTATATTTGTGCCTTTCTTCTTGGTTTTGTGTTCAAAACAATTTAAAATATTAATATAGTAGAGCCTCACCTCACCTACATCCATGAAGAATGAGATTTGACATGTTAATATATACATTAATTCTTGAAGTGTCACTTTGCTTTTGGAAAATATTTGACAGGCATAGAGGAGTCATTGGGGTAAAGTTTAATCCACGAAACAATAATAAGTGAAATCAAGGTTCCAGTCGATATGGTCAGAGTGGAGATAGCCCAATAGGATGGCTTCCCCAGGTTAATGTACTATTATTAGTCCATTATCTTAAGAGGAACTAAGCCTTTTCAGAATGCTATGCTCAGAAAATTCATCTTTTGTTGCGCCACAAAGCAGTGGGAGGAATTGCTTGCTATAATCTCATTATAACCTGTGGCATCATGCGATTCATACCTTTCTGGTAAGCAATCCCACCCTTCTTAACTTCACATTCGTGTTTTTATGTTGTCTTCTGAATATTGAATCTTCAAAATTTGACGCATACATAGAACTGAAGAACTTACGAGTAAGAGTTTTTGTTGCAGGGAAGAGTTACCTGGATTAATAGACTAGAAGAGATAAGTTTGCTGCTGTAAAAATATTCCAACTGCTAAAACAATGTCTCGGAATCACAGTGGTATCTCATAGTGTCTCAACTTTCTAAACTTGAGAAAAGAGTGGAAGTTGAAAAATGAAAATACTTCCTCATGCAAATATATAATTCTTTTTCTTTAATTTGCTACCATATTTGGCAATTGAATCATTATTGTATGAAGAATGAAAGACAAGTATGGCTATACAAAAAATAAGAGGATCTGGATTTGATATCTAGCTTAGTCTTGGATTCATTTGTAGTCTACAAGGCATCAACGGTTGGGAGTCTTTCACGTAAACGTGAGTGACTGTCCTTAGCATTTCTCCTAGCTTGTAAGATGCGTGTCGGCTCAAATGTAACATTTACTGAAGAAGTTGAGTTAGTCTCAGTCCATCTATTACAGTTTCAAAAGAAATACAACCCAGACACGAGTCTATTATAACACATGAGTTGATTGTCGTTCTAAATTAAAAGATTTGTGTCTACTGCGTTGTTCTATGAGTGTCTGCTGCTTTCTTCTGGTTGTTTAGGGTCAATGGTTGCAGTTTGCATTCTTGGGGCTGGTACTGACCTCTACTGCCGCAGTGAAGAGAGAACACAACAGTAATGAACTCGATAATAAAGAAGGGCGGTTCTTGGTTGGAAGATTGAGAAGGGTGGTTCAACCCCCCAATGTGGTTAGGAATCACTACTTGTCTCAAACAAACAGACGCAGGAGAGGCTCGAAGAGGGGATTTCTAAGCGAAAAGCACAAGGCGGCTTTGCTATCCATGCTACTCACCAAAGGGTGGCAGGTGAAGCTGCAAGGAGAAAATGCAGCTTTCTTCTTTACATAAAACTGATATGAGTGTGACTAGTCTTATAGCATCGTTGCTTTTTCGATCTTTCAATTTCTTATCTGTGGGAGAAGATAGGAAGGGAAAGAGACTTCGATCGTGTAGATTTCAGTTCTACTGTTAAATATTGATGAACCTCTTCTATAATTTTGTGCTAGGTTCTGTTGTTCTATCATATTTCTTTCTACGAATTACCGAAAAGTCACGTTCACTACATATAGTTTGAGGCAGAGTTTCGGGGTATCTGATTCACATGGACAATGTCAAATTATCAGTACGACGTTACGAAAGATTTCCTTTCATCTAAACTCAATTGAATGTGAAGATAAATGATCTCACTCTCTTGATCATGAAAATCATTTCGCCAGCGAAGGAGGGGGGGACGGTATTGAGTTTTTCATTAGGCGGTAAGATAAAACTCACACACCACTTTTGCCAATTGATTTGGAGACCTAACGTGACTGTCACGAGGTATTTTGTCAAGCATCTTACTCGAATGACAACCGTGAGTCGTGACCAATATCGTGTGTAACAGTAGTGAGTCTACTCTAGGCCAATCGTATACACTCGCCCCTGTGTGCTCTGCCAGTGGAGGGGAAAAATTACTTTCTCAAACTAATTCGTAGGATAAAATAAGAAATAAAGGACAATACTTGCATCTCTTTGGGGGAATGCACATTATCCCACTCTTTGTTAATAACGTATCTTCATCGTATAAATTTTATAATTGAAATCGTCCAAATCCTTATCCTTAATTTGAAGATCATCTATGCTAAAAAAAATCATTTGAATTGAAATCCCTTAGCAACCCAAGTGTGTCAAATAAATAGATGGTTGTTCATGGATATGTTATTTGATACTTATACAGTTGATTTATTTTATACGTATAGATGATTAAACGATTTTCAATTAAAATGATTTTGTGTATGGATGATCTTCACATAAAAATTAACAAATTAACAATTACGATTTCCAAACCAAACGATGTATCAAAACTAATCTTACTCAAACATGCACCAACAAGCAATCAAGCCGGGCTATGAGCCAATCCCATGATGCACGTGAAAAGCAAGAAGAAAATCATAAGGAAGTGCATCATCACAATGTCACCAGCAATCACGCGGGAAAGGGAAAAGCCCCATTAGGAAGGCCACGTTCGAAAATGCCTTGGGTATGGGTTTGATTGTTTAGCCCGCTCAAGGTCATTCACAGCCCAAATAATCAAGTGGGCTAATGTTGAGGCTAAAAAATGTCACGTGCAAGCCCAATCAAGTCTCGAAGCCCAATTGTCATACAAGCCTCAAGTCAAGCTCAAATAAATGCAAAAGGTGCGGAATCAAGAAGGAGGTATGTTCGTAATCATGCCATGCTTCGTTAATCAAGCCACATATTTGTGTAAATCACACCATGCTCGTGAGAACTCGTGCATGTTTATCATGCCAAGTTTTATCACGCCAATCACTATTCATGCTAAGATAAGCCCAAGTCACATGCATGAGGCTTATCAAGTGAATTGTAGTATGGATGGTTATAGAAGTTCATTAGGCCTACATGGAGTCAAGATTATGGAAGTCTTTGGATTGCTTGGGAGCTAAAAATTTCAAGCACATAACATTTGTATTCCATGTAGGTAAGTTTGAGAGAGAACCAGACTAGTTCCTCATCTCACTAGTAAGCTAACCAACTTAGTTAGGGAAGAACCAAGCCCTGACCCTTAGAGTCACGTGAAAGCGCAAACAGACATGCATTTAATGAAGCGAGAAGCAGACTTTCCCTTCCTAGCTGATGCAGAAGTCCAACACACGAAATCCATGAGGCTAGTTACCAAAAGTAACGCATATGGAAAGCTAACCCGGGAAACCCGCACCTCAGGAAAAAGACACGGTGCAGGTTCTACGATCTAGCCTTCTTACACCAAAATAAAGGGTAACATGAGAACTAGGGAGAAAGGGAATGGAGAAACAAGCCCTAACTAGATATTCATTGGGAATGAACCATTCAACTACAAATATAGGCCAAGAACTTTCAAAAAAGAGCCCCAATCTTCCAACTTCACACAGAGAACCAAAGAAACCCACAAACATCATTCCGCAACCTTAGCATTCTCACCTCCCTTTAAGTATTCCAGCCATCGTAAGCCTTGCTTCCACCCTAGGAAACTCAGATTATCCAACAGAGAACTTTGTGCAACCATGCTCTCTCAACATGCTAAACTGATAAACTTCTAGCTTTCACATCACGCTTCTCTTGATCAAGCCATTATTTGCCTTAATCATGTTATCTTTGAGTCATTGATCCAACTAGGATATTTCCTAAGACGTGCTACTTCTTTCGAGATATTCCAAGACTTGGTATGAAACTGAACCAAGGGAGACAAGAAGACTTATTAAAATCCAAGTCTACCTTAACCTAAAAGTCCCCTAACAGGTCTTTCTGCGAATACAATATGTTAGTTTTTGTCTAGAGTTCATAGAGTACAGTCTCAGTGAATTGAAATCCAATATTGTACCTCTATTGACATGCAATCTAGATTTGGTTCTTTAGTTAAGCAATTTAAGCTCCGAATTATTTCATCATTTTTCCGAAAGTTCTTACCCAACAAGTCGTTCACTTTTTGCACCAGACGCTTATTCGACTATTTGCCAAGCTCAGGAAGGAAGTGTAGGAGAAGGCATTGAGGACCAACCCAACTGCAGAAGTTCTGAAGAACTGGGGTTGTAGTGACACTGACATATCCAAGATGTCCATGCAACGCCTTGCTTTGCAGAGTACTGACCTTAACCATCTTTAGTCCAAACTAAGGACTCGTTTGGATGTGCTTTTAAAATGACTGAAAGCACTTGTAGAGAAAATGTTTTTAGATTCCAAAAGCACTTTAAAGGCGTGTTTGTTTGGCCACCTTAAGTTTCACTGGACTGGACTGTACTATTTGGGTAAGATTATTATTTTGTGTTTGGTGCAAGTCGGGATTGAGTTTAGTGGGATTAAGTTGGACTCGTGCCGACTAAATCCTTCGTTAGCTGGGCTTAGCGAGAGCCCCCGAAAATGAGGGGATTGCTAGTCCTGTTTCCCCGTTTCCCCTCACTTTGCCTCACCCCACGCCTGAGAACTTACCCTCCCACTGTCTTTCTCCCCACCTCCCTCTCGTCTGTCCATAAGATCTCCAAGTCAGAGACCCAGAAAAGCCAAAAAAGCCAAAAACCCAAAAAAAATCGAAAGCAGATTCAACCCCATCTCCCACCTTCGAGCCATGCATGCAACCCACCTCCAACTCCTAAATTTTCATTTTCATTCTTGCTCTTTGGTTTGATTTTAAGATTTGCAAAGGATTTTGTGAGAGGAATAAAAGAGGCAGAGAAAGATTTGCAGTGAAGAGGAAGAGAGATTTGCAAAATCTTCGAATCCGAGACCATCCAAAATCAGATTATCACCCAGGGAGTTGGATAGGAAAAGAGGCAGAGGGAAGAGAGAGGGATTTGGACGGAAAATGGAGAAGGGAGGGATGCAGTGGACGGACCAAAAAAATGAGAGAGGAAGATGATTAAAAGCTTGACCAAAATAAATGGTTTTAGAAAGGAAAATGATAATTTAATAATAAAATATTAGTATATATAGATTAAATTAATGATAAAATATTGTAAATATAAAATTTAATAATATAATATATGAGTCCTGCTTTTTAATCCGACACAACACCAAACGCTTCACTAAATCAGTCCAGCTTAGTCTATTCTAAGCCAGTCTAGCTTAGTCTATTCTAAGCCAGTCCAGCTTAGCCCCTGAAGCTAGTCCAGTCCGAGATAGTCCGGTGCAACAAATGCACCATAAGTGTTTTTCCAGGATTTACTTACATTTTTAATAAGGATTGGTTATAAAAACTTTTTCACCAAAAGTGCTTTCAGACATTTTAAAAGCACATCTAAACGAGCTCTAAATGTTCTAAGTGGTTTTTGGGCATTACAACACCTCAGCTCATGAAGATCATACATTGCCATCCATGGTTTCTTAGTTGTCGATTTAATCATTGCATTCAGGCCACATAATTCAATTGTACATTTGGTGGGCTACTTTTGTGGTTGACAATTTCATTTTAATCAGTCCTGTGAATTATTTGGCTATTTTTGTGCCAAAATAATGGCTCAAAGCGTCAGGTGGCATGCTAAGAGCAAGTCCAGCGTATCAAGGCCCCTTAGGGCAACTTCCTATTGAATAACCTCCAGTGAACAACAACTGCCTTTAATGAATAATAATTGTCTTTTGCATCTCCACTTTTAAGGCCATCTCCAACTGAAGGGTCCAAAGGGCCGAAAACCGTCTCTAACAGAGGGCTAGGCCAAATGGCTAGTGGGCCCTACGAAATCTGAAAGGGCCAAAGGGCTAGCCCAATCCAACCAACCAACCAACCCTGGGTTGGCAAAAAATGTGAGCATTCCTGTCGAATATAACCGACAAGATTGCTAAGCCAAATTTTCAAATGCAACGGCTAGCTAACATCAACTAGTCGTTATTTTTGAATTTTTTTTTTTTACAGTTTTTTTATATTTTTTTTATTTACAATTTTTTTTTCCTATAACTTCTATTTTTAAATTCTATTTTTTTCTATGACTTCTATTTTACAAAATTTGTTTCATATATTTTTTTAAAATTCTATTTTTGTTCCTATAACTTCTATTTTACAAAATTTGTTTCATATTTTTTTTAAATTCCATTTTTTTCCAATAACTTCTATTTTACAAAATTTGTTTCATATTTTTCTAAATTCTATTTTTCTCCTATAACTTCCTAAGCCATTATACAACATTAAATTAAATTAAGTAACATGAAACAACATTAAATAACATTAACCAACATAAAAAAACATTTAACAACATGAAACTTAAACAACATTTTTAAAAAAAAATTAACAACATTTTTTAAATAGATTGAATTCAAAGTTGTGTGAATTATAGCCCAATATCCACCCTATTTATAGCAAAAAAAATTCAAATCCAACGGCTAGCTGACGTCACTTAGCCATTGTATTTGAATTTAAGTTGTAGTTTTAAAATAATAAATTATGTTTGACCCTCGATTATAGACGGTTTTTTGTGACATGGTTAAAACGAACCCTATGGCCCTTTGGCCCTCGGTTGGAGATTGAGGCAAATATGGCCATGTACTGTTCATTAAAATATT